CAGGGTCCGAGGAACAACCAGCTACAGAACCAGAACCAGAGCGCCCACGTTGACCTCTGCTCATGGACCAATGTGAGAAGGTGGTCTCATTATTCACGTTGTATTTGGAGGCATGTGGATGACCATCTACCTGGAGAGGAGGATGGGAAGGACGGGAAGAAGGAGAGCCAGTAGAGGCTGGGTGATGTTCTGGACTGTGTTCTGCTGGTAAACCTCGGGTCCTTCATGCAGGTGGATGTTAACTGACACCTAAACATTGCTGGAGACCACGTCCACTCCAACATGGCAGCAGGACTCTCTGGTAGCCTCTTTAGCCGGGACATCATTACACACTAGACTACAAACATGATTCAACAGTGGTTTGAGGAACATGACAAAGACTTCAAGGTGTTGCCTCAAAATCNTGAATAATAATGAAATGGGGATATTTCACAAGAGTCAAACTATTTTCCAAATTGCAGCTGTATTTCTCCCCCCTAGATATATTACTATACCCCTCCTTAAAGTGAATTAATTACCATGGTGTAGAAGTGAATATCTAATAAAAACATTCACAAAGTCACTTCATGTGCGTCATTCATTGTGTGCATCAGCTCTCGTCCTTCCTCTCCTTCACTAATCGCTGGCGGACGTCGGAGGTGCTCTGATTCGTACACGATTTGCATCGAAGGAGCCCAACACAGCGGGACGTCAGAATTTCTCCAGAAACCCTCGCAACTGCGCTCGCCACACCTCAGGAATAATCAGTGACACGGTGCTACAGCACATCTGTAACCAGCTGCTGTACGACGTAAGAAGTGCAAAGTCGCCGCCTTTCAGAAACACCCACAGCGTTCGACCTGAAGGGCGACACGACGCGTTTACCTGCTGAAGTGTGAATAGTAGCTCCAAATCTGAATATGCATGCAGGTGTGGAAAGCAAGAAATGGTGAAAACACAAACCCAGTCTGAACACAAAGATGAGGTTCTACCCTATGAAGCGACTGTCAGCACTAACTCATACCCAGTGTGTTGTTCATAGATGTTCTATATGGGTCAGAGATCACTGCCCTGTTTTAATCCAGTTTAGTTTAACTCTTGTTTATTGGCCCAAAGTCTCTGTCACGGTGCTCCTTTACCAGCTAAACTCCCATAATTCCCTCTGCTTAGCAACACGGAACTGCCTGAATAATCTGGTTGTGTCAGTATCAAACAGTCAGAAGCTCCTCCTGGTGGGACAAGTGGGTACTACAGC